GGCGCGTCTTAGAGTAAGAGTTGATGGGCTGAAAACACTGAGAGTTCTAACACGTGGTCCGAACTGTTTATTAGCCACAGAAAGGTTTGACCCAGCTGAACTGCGTGAGGTGAAAACATCAGCCAAAGTAAATTTATAATGAAACAGAGCAGGTGTCTATGTTTGACACCCCTGCTCTGGACATAGAAAAAAAACCCGAAATATTTGTTCAGATTCTGTCGTTTCTTTTTCATTCGGTCATTTGAGCTCCAACTGAGGATGTGGGTCAACTCTGTGAGCTGGAGATTCAGTTCGACCAGACGTCCTTCCCTTCTTTTCACTGCTTACGTACAAAACCACTGAGTCCAGAGAGGCCGGGGGGGCCGTACACGGTGACATGCCCTACTGGACCTGGGCCAGGTTTTTCACACACACACACACACACACAGTTCGCTGGTGTAAACACAAGCCGGAGGTCACGGCTGTGTTTCTCCTCACGTCCACACCGTCGGTCCCTCCCATCCTCGGTCTGTAGATATGAAGGGTCTGTGAGGAGAGAGTTCCTGCATCTGTTCTGAGCTGATCCCCCACCTCACCCCACCCTGCTCCGTCCACTGCTCCATTGTTGATAAGAAATACACTTCAGTTTTGAGCTTGGAGTTTAAGTGATAAGACTTCCAGGAACTTTGGGTGGTTGTGTTTTCCTCCACATGATTCATAGACTGACTGGGCCACAACCGAGGTTGGGTCTGGGCAATAAATAATAATAATAATAATAATAATAATAATAATAAAATAATCCTTATTTATTTTCTTAAACATTTTCTTTATATAATTTTCTTATATTCTGTTCCAAACCGGTATTTCTTTTATTCAGTCACTTCGATTGCATGAAACCAAAGACAATGACAATGGGTTTTTTTTTTTTTTGTTTTTTTAAAACTAATCCTGTGGGTTGGGAAAAGTTGGGCTGGATCACAACATACCTATAGAATGAAGTGGGAGTCAGTGGGTTGCTCCGATTAGGGGAGGGTTTTAAAGGCGTAGCCCTCCTCTCCCCTCCTCCTCTCCCCTCCTCTACTCCTCTCCTCGTCTCCACAGCTCTTCTGTCCTCGCCTTCTCACAGGACGCACTCCTCCACTCCTCCACTGTGCGTAAAAGCGGCTAACAGAAAAATGAACTCTGTGGTGAAGTGGCTGCTCATCCTCCTCGCCCTCCTCTCCGTCGTTCTGAACATCATCCTGATCGGGATCTACTCCAAGAGGTCGCCCAAGTGTTCCAGCCAACGCGTGCACCCGCTGCGCGCCAAACACGATGATCGCAGCCTGGTGTTCGCGGACCTCAGTCAGGAGGAGTACATGCAGGTCCAGCAGTACATGCTCCGGCAGAAGGACCTGGACGTCTCCACCAACCAGATCACTCTGCCGTCTGAGAACTTCGTCTTCCTCATCGAGCTCTCTCTGCCCAAGAAAGCGGAGACACTTTTGTACCTGGACAGCAAGGGCCCGAAGCCGGTGAGAAAGGCCACCGTGGTGGTCTTCCACGGCGCAAAGGGCTACATCAAGGAGTACGAGGTGTGGCCCCTCCCGGACCCCAAATACCACAAGGATATCACCATGGAGAAGTACGGGACCGAGCTGCCAATCAACGGCCGCACGGTAACCGTCGGAGAGTATGTGCAGCTCTTCAGCTTCTTTGAGATCCAGGTCTTCTCCAAACTGGAGAAACTCCTCAAGGAGAGCTTCGATTATGGACCGCACAAGAAACTGAACGCTTTCGAACAGATGCCGCGCGGAGTTCGATCTGGAGACAGAAATACGTGGGTGGCTTTTATGAAGGATGTCAGCGGCATCTACATCAACCCCTCTGGCTTCGAGGTGCTGGTCAACCACCAGAGTGTAAACTCGTCTGAGTGGAAGGTGGAGGGTTTGTTTTACAACGGCCAGTACTTCAGCACCGTGGAGGAGCTTCGACTGAAGTACGAGGCTGGTACTGTTAGGAAAATCGTCTACAAAGATTCTCCAAATCCGGGCTCTCTGAAGCCCAGGACCAAGCCTCTCCAAATTGGCCCACAGCTCTTTTACGCAGAGGGAAAACGCTTCAGTGTCAGTCAGAACCAGGTCCTGTACCTGGACTGGAGCTTTGCCTTCGGACTCAGCTCACTGACGGGCATGCGGGTGTTCGACGTGCGCTTTAAGGGTGAGAGGATCGTGTACGAGCTGAGCGTGCAGGAGGCCTTGTCTGTGTACGGATCCATGACGCCTGGGTCGATCATCACTAAATTCATTGACTCTGGTATCGGAATTGGACGTTATGCACATGAATTAGTGCGCGGCGTGGACTGCCCCCACGAGGCTGTTTATATAGACACGTATCGATACATCGACACAGCGGTTCCTGTCAGGTTTAGGAATTCAATCTGCATCTTTGAGCACAACATGGGTCAGCCGCTGCGCAGACATTTCTCCGACTTTTTCCATCACAGTTATGGAGGATTGGTGAACAGCGCCCTGGTGGTCAGGACCATCACTGCCATAGAGAACTACGACTACATGTGGGACTTTGTCTTCTACCAAAACGGTGCGGTGGAGGCCAAGGTGCACGCCACCGGATACATCAGCGCCACTTACCTGGTGGATGGCAGTCTGAAGTACGGACACAAGGTGGCGGACAAAGTCCTGGGCAACATTCACACACATTTCGTGAACTTCAAGGTGGACTTGGATGTGTCAGGTGAGTGAGTGCAGGGCGACACACACACAAACACAATCACAAACACCTACGCTGACGTAACAATCAATATTTTTTTGTGCACATATTTAAAATGTCCTGAATGAACTCACAACATAAGTCATAAAAAGTCATATTAAGTCCGAGAGAAAAGATCAAGTATTTAATTTTAAAAATTAAATTAAATTAATTCTTATTTTATTTTATTTTATTTTATTTTATTTTATTTTATTTTATTTTATTTTATTTTATTTTATTTTATTTTATTTTATTTTATTTTATTTTATTTTATTTTATTTTATTTTATTTTATTTTATTTTATTTTATTTTGTGCTCTGCTCGTAGCCCTGTTTAATTGAAAACGCATGTGTCTCGTGTGTCTTCCGCCTGCAACTCAACTTCCCACCAATAGGAAATGTGAACTGTAATGAGTGAAAGTTCCAGATTGTGGTTTAAAGGACAGTGGTTAACTACACTGGTCCAGACTGGTGAGAGAGTGAAAGCAGGTGTTTGTTGTTCCACGTGAATCCAGTGTGACTGAACAGCCTGTTGTTGTTTCCTGTTCTTTGTGTTGCAGGAGTTAAAAATGTCTTCCAGGCCAAAGACATGAAGTACGTGAATGTGTCGGTGCCTTGGTTACCCAATCACCACGCTATGATCCCACAGCTGGTGGAGACACAAATGAACACAGAGAAGGTGAGTTCAGGTCCCAGACTGTACGAAACAGTTGGACATTGTCCTCCACGGAGACCAGTTACAGCTCTGTGAAACAGGCCGGGTTGTTTAATGACAAAGTACCGAGTCCTGGAGGTACTTGAAGTTACCTGGTTTGCAAATAAGAACATTCCAGATCTTCTACAGTGTCGGAAAACAGTTTATGACTAGGGATGTCCGATATTAGCTTTTTGCTGATATCCGATATCGTCCAAAAACTTAATTTCCAATTCCGATACCAAGTGATACCGATATACGCAGCTGTTCGATCCCAGAACTGAGGTAAACGTCTCAGGACCCTACAAGAAATTCCAGCATATTTGACAAAACCCAGGAATTGCGTTATCGGAAAAAAACCCCATTAACGAATTATACACCGTTATTGCATAATTATACTAATATCGGGCCGTTGAAATTGGTCGACCGATGTTACCGGACCTCCCTACTTACGACCATGTGAGTAGACCACGGCTGTTTGTCAACATTAACCCAGTCATGACCAGTGGAACACTGTGACCTTTTCTACAGGAGGCTGCCCTGCGGCACAACGCCAAGACCCCTCGCTACCTCCACATCGCCAGCAACAGGACCAACCGTTGGGGTCACCAGCGTTCTTACAGGCTGCAGGTGTACTCCTTTGCAGGAGACCACCTTCCAGAGAGCGAGGCTGAGGAGAAGGCCATGTCCTGGGCCAGGTGAGGTGGGAATTTTTTCCCGAGAAGGCCATGTCCTGGGCCAGGTGAGACCAATAATCAATGATCAATGATCACTAATCAATAATCAATGTTGTGTTAGATTAGTTTGTTTCTCTTCCATTTGGCCATTGTTGTCTCGGTCTGGACCTCTCTGAGCTTTAACTCAAAATTAAAAACTGAATGAATTATTTATAGTCATAAATATAGTTACTTCAAAGACACAAATGTATGTTGTTCGTTATTGTAAAGTTGACAGTGGTTTCCTCGGGGTTGAAGGATTCTGAAGACAACAATCTGCCAGAAAGATTTACAGGATAAATAAGAGCTCATGTGATGCAGAACATCTGGAGACGTCCACCATTTGGTGGGGACCAGATGTTGAACATGGAAACAAATGATGGAAAAATCTTGTGTCCGGATGTTTCCTGACCAGGTCAATGTTTTTAGTCCTGGTCCCTGATCTGGATCTAATGTTTGGTTTGTTGCCTTGGTATTATGTAGTTCCCCTAGGGGGCGCTCCACTGGGATCAAAAAAGTTTGTGAACCTTAAACAGATCTAGAATGTATATTAAGTTCCAAGGTTTACACACACTAAGGCTAACTGTGCTAATTATTAGCAGGACGTCAGTGATTTTTTTCTCTGTTCTAATGGTTTTGATCGAACCTCGTCCTCCGTCCTCCCCCAGGTACAAGGTCGCTGTCACTAAGCACAAGGACTCCGAGGCCACCAGCAGCAGCCTGTACAATCAGAACGACATGTGGAGTCCTGCCGTCGACTTCAGCAAGTTCATCGAGGACAACGAGAACATTGAAAACGAGGTTTGTAAAAACATCCAACGTGATGATGTAAGTTCTAGTGAAGACTGCTGCTGCTGAACCTGGGTCTTATGGTTCCCTCTAGGACCTGGTAGCCTGGGTGACTGCTGGCTTCCTCCACATCCCTCACGCTGAGGATATCCCCAACACGGTTACCGTGGGCAACGGAGGCGGGGTCCTGCTGAGGCCTCACAACTACTTTGATGAAGATCCATCGGTGAATTCCCCCGACGCCGTGTACTTTGAGCCTGGCAGTGAGGACAGCTGTGAAAACAACAGGATGGCCTGCCTTGCTCAAGAGACCTGCAGCCCCGTGCTGGAACCCTTCACCTACCACGGCTTTGAGGGCGTGATGAAGTTTACTTGAACAAACTGAGAAGTGAGATCAGAAAAAGGTTCATCTGTGTCATTTATTACTAACAGCTAGATTTGTAATTGATCTGGAGCGGTGGTTCTCAACCTGTCTGCACAACGTTCCACCTCTGAGGAAACATCTGACCGTCTGGACACAACCAGACAATATTAAAATACAACAGTACAGGACTGCCACCTTTAGCTTACCATAGTATACGAAGAAAAGTTCAGCTGCTTCTCTTCTGCCCCCTCTGGTCACTATTGTACTGTATCTTTTATTCACCTCCACTATTTTTATGAAGTCAGTCTAAAAAAAACAACCATAAACCAATGATTGGAGTCCAAGCACCACCGGTGGTACACATACCATAGTTTGAGAACCTCTACTCTGGAGCTCTTAAACTACAGTCAGGAGAATTGTCCGAGGTGCTACTGTATATGAAGACAATGTTAATGTGGACAACATGGAGCAGAATCATGTTGTAGAGTAGATTTATAAACTGTATGTACACTGGATCCACTGTGAAAACCTGACTGGGCTGAAATAAACACACGAGAAGAAGAAGAAGAAGAAGAATGTGTTTGTCTTTGAATGAGCAGAGATCCAGGCTGACAGAGGTCTCTGCTAAAGATGAGGTGAGACCAGATAATCTTGAGTTAGATTAGATTAGAATGGATTAGATTTAAGGATGTACAGTAACTACTGATAAACAAAAACAGACCTGGAGTTATAGTATGAACCGTACATCATGACATCAGTACCATAGTCAAAAACCAAAAACAGTTTTGACTTTTTAAATGAAGATTTTTCCCTTTTTTTTCTTAACTACTACAAAGCCTTTCAAATCCAGTATGAGGGTGTAGTACTTCTTGTGACCACTGCATGACATTATGACACTAAGCCGCAGGCTCTATATGTTGTAAATGACCATAAATGGAAAACCTTGAGTTCTATTCCCACACACACACACACCATGAGGCCGCTGTGCTGGTTTGTCATCTGGAAACAATCAGGCCTGAGTAGTGGTAGAACCCCCCAGAACCCCAGAGGAGATCGTGAAACTCTGCATGAACTTCTTTGCTGTGTTGAAGAATGAAGTGCTGCAAAACATCCAGTTTGGATCGTTTGGATTCTGCTCCTCAAAAGTTACCCTTTTTTTCCTGAAGTCATACCACTATATTTTGTTTGAGTGTGAGGCATCTTCTGCCCCACACGGGGGTGGCAGAGTTTCACTTTTGGTCTGACCAAAACCTGGTCTGAGACCAAAACCTGGTCTGAGACCAAAACCTGTTTTTTTTGTTTTTCTGTTTTATGGACCACAGAGGGTTAAGTCACTGATGACGCTTAATAAAACAGTCAACTTATGCTCCTCTGTCTCCATCTAGAGGACATAAAGAAAATAGGACGGGGTGTGTCCTCGCTGTACATATAAAAGACAGTGAGGTTCATTATCAAAACCACCTGGACCTTGTTGTCTAGTTGTTCTTATCTCTGTGGTGCCTTCAGGTTCCACCAGAACGTCCTGGAGAAACAGACCCTGTTGAACAGTCAAAGGTTTCAGTGTTTTTCTGTCCATCATGTTTAAGTACCAGCTGCAGGTGACCACGGGCCAACAGTCGTTCGGAGGAACCTACGATTACGTTTTTCTCACTTTAATTGGAAAGGAGGGAGAGAGTGAGCGGACGGAGCTGAAAACCTGCTTCGGCTTCAGAGCTGGGACCGTAAGTCTGATCAGTTTGAATCTCAGCTTCATCGCAGCGCAGGTTGATGACTGTTGATGTGGCTGTGTGCCACGTTTACCTTCCTTTTCTAGACAGAAGATTTCACCGTTAAAACGACTTCATCTCTGGGCGAACTTCTGCTCATCAGAGTGGAGAAGGATCCGTTCCTGGTTTTCCCAGAAGACGAGTGGTACTGTTCCACTATAGTGGTGAGGACGGAGGGGGGAGAGGTCCTCGTCTTCCCCTGTTACAGGTGGATCTGCAGGGGGGACAAGGTGGAACTGAGAGGAGGAAGAGGTCGGTCAAATTCTCTGTACTTTTTAAATCACATACTTTCATGAATGATGTGTATCCTGGGGTGTGTACTCTAGTATCTGGTTGCAGTTTTTGTGTGGACCTGGGACAGAGACACAAAGGAGTCCACAAAAAAAACCAAAACAATAAGCAGTTGTTATAAGAGTCCGACAGGAGGGACTTGAACCCATGCTTTTCTGTAGGAGGTGCTCTAATGTCTGAGCCGCTTTTTTAACCATAAGTTTTACACGGCAACACTGAAGGAATTCTTTTCTGCGTTACATTTTTCCTCTCAGCCTTGAAGGTTTCTGAAGAAGACCACGATCTGTTGACGGAGCATCGGCAAAAAGAGCTGACGTTCAGGAAGAGCCTGTACCAGTGAGTGGGTCAGACCTAACCAAGACGGTCTCAGAGTCCTACAGATGTCAAACCTTGACTGGTCCGTTTGTGTGTTATTCAGATGGGACGTCCTGGTTGAAGGACTGCCCCACAGAGGCAGGTTCGATGATGTTTCCCAACTCCCAACTGAAGTCCACCTTTCTGCAGCCAAGGCCAATGAACTGTCTCACGAGAGATTCCTGGTGTAAGTCTACTTATCTTATATACTTATATTGGTTCCATTGTGTATCGGTTAGCACACCTGCCTTACAAGCAGGAAGTCCTTGGTTTGATTCCCAGAGGAAGCACATATCCCTAATGGTGCCTCCTGTGGCAGACTTGTGTTCGGAAAGTTGAGAACCTGATAATATTCTTCTGTCTAATGTACCATATTCCATTGAAAGCCTTTCACGCCCAACTCCTCCCCCGCACTCCCTGGCACATCACCTCGTTCTTCTGGTTGATTTTTTTCTCTTGTTCCAGGGCCATGGAACTCAAGTTAAAGGGAATAATTGGCTCCAAGGAATCCTGGGAGAGCATCGATGACATGGCAAACATCTACTGGACAAACCGGACGCCGATGTCTGGTATTTCTTTACAAATTAAATTATTAATTTTTATTTCATCAATGCTCCAAAGAAATGTGGTTATCTGGTGTCCTCCTGTGAACTCTACACTGAACAGGTCTTTCTGGTTCATGCTGACACATGAAACCGAGGTCGGGGGGGGAGGGGATTAGGGTAGGGTGGGGGGAGGGGACTCAAACTAAAGGGTT